CGCTGTCAGAATCTGAGCTGCTTCCTCCCCAGTCCTCCTCATCAGTCTCTCCCTCTCCGCCCAAATCGCTATCATCAATACTTTGAAGGATTTCTAAAGCCTGTTTCGCTGTTAGATTTCTTCTGAAAAGCATTTTTCGGTATAAGCTAAAGAGTTCTAGGTAGAATGTTGGTTGCTAGGCAACAGTAACGAACATCAATCAACCACGGGAAGAAATTACAATACAATTAATAGATCCGTCAAAATGATGGCTGTAGGAAATCGAGGTAGAATTAACTATATTTTTTACGTTTTAATTTTATAAAAAAAAAAAAAAAAACTACATGAAATGAATGAAATATAGAAACAGAAAGAGTCAGTTAACATGGGCAACATATGATTAATTTGTGGGGGTTATTTTCAGGGGGTGTGTCCTCGGCTGCTCTGACCTGCACACGTTGGTGATGTCAGCTCCAGAGTAGCCCTCCAGCTGCTCTGAGATCTTGTCCAGATCCACGTCACTGGCCAGCTCCAGCTCCTTCAGGTTGATCCGGAGCATCTCCACTCTCCCCTTAACTGCAAATATAAAAACAGTCGCTATCAGCATCTGTTCTACAACCAGAGAGGTCGGCTACCCAGATGGAGAAACGTCTCCTCCCTCAGTTAACACCAGAGACCTGGTGGGTAACATCTGCTATCTTCTGCAGCTCAGGGTCCAAATATCTGCAGCTAAAGTCCAGAGAAAGGGAAGCAATAGATGATTATCTGAAGGTTGCAACCAGCGAGCAAAGACAATGAAGCATAAAGCCTGTAGTGAGGTAATCTTTGGTGAGTCGTGACCAAAGATGGCGGATCAATCCTGTTAGATTTCAGCTGGAGAGCAATAAAATGCACAGCTGTTAACTCTCCTGGTAACCGATAACTTCCAGGTCAGGATGGGCCTGATGGCTTGGAATTATTTTAACAAATACCAGTATTAGAAGATCTGGAGAGTTTATTTATATTAAAGTTCAAAAGTACCACAATTATGTTTTTGGTTTGTTTTTTTATTTTCGTTTGTTTTAAAATTATGTTTTAATATTTGGTACATCAAATAATATGTTTTATGGTTTCTCTTGTTTTAAAGGAAAAGTCCGCTCATATTCAGAATTCAAACTTCTGAGAGTACTTTAAATATGAAATTGTTCCATCCTGTTCAATAAATGATCAGTGATTTTAATTCAGAGTAATCTTCATGTGAATGTGCTTTACTGGAGGCATCCATGTTTGTCAAAGAACACTACTGCCACCTACTGGNTGAATTTCAATGGTGAAGTCCTCTGGAAATCTTCAATAATTGTTGTTGATTGCAGATGTGTCTAGTAGTTCCCATTGATTTAGCTTGTAAAGCGGGGAGAATGGCGCTAGGCTTACCGCACCGTGACGTCACTGCTGGAAGCACCACTGTTAGTCCATCAGGCTAGTCTGAGCCGTTTCTCCTCCACAGAAACAAACAAACCTGCTCGTCTACAGGTCTCTTAAGCTCCGAACTAACTTAATGCTAGAAGTAAAACAATAGTGGTGGCGCTGAGTTTAAGCAGTGCCCGCTGAGGGCACTGCTTAAACTGGGATCAAACCAACGTCTGAGCAGCTTTACCTGAAGGCAGAGGGATGTAAATCCTCTTCTCCAGCCGTCTCCTCAGGGCCTCGTCGATGTCCCAGGGGAAGTTGGTAGCGGCGAGCACCATCACCATCTTTGATGGGTCGTCGTTCTCCGAGGCTCCGCCCACACCTGCAGCACAGCAGAGCAGATGCTGATGAACCGAGCAGGGGAGCCTTTGACACGTCAAAGCTAAATGAGAACCGTACCGTCCATCTGGACCAGCAGCTCTGCCTTGACTCTCCTGCTGGCCTCGTGTTCCTCTGAGGTTCCTCTGCGGCTGCACATGGAGTCGATTTCATCAATGAAAATGGTTGTTGGAGCGTAAAAGCGAGCCTGGAACAAAGATCAATTTCACCAATTTGCCATTTTTCTGAAATGATTGGTCTTTAAAAGGCCACTTAGCCAATCAGTTTGGTTTCCATTCTTACCATCTCAAAAAGAAGGCGAACCAGCTTCTCTGACTCTCCTCGGTACTTTGAGGTTAGCGTGGATGAAGACACGTTGAAAAAAGTAGTTCTGCATTCGGTGGCGACTGCTTTGGCCAGAAGAGTCTTCCCCGTGCCTGGAGGCCCAACCATCAGCACCCCCTGTGGAGGACAGGAGCCGTCAGCTGTAAGAAGGCTGGACAGCAGCCTGAGCAGATTAACTAAAGACTCAATGGAAGGAACAGAATGTAAAACGATGTTTTGCACAGTGAAGAACTTCAGCACACAAAGTTGCTCAATTCACGTTTCTTGCAAAAAGAAAATTTGCTGGACATGTCTGCATATATGGTCAACAGAAGCCCCATTTCCACCACCGTCTGAAAACTGATCTGTGCCAAGCATGGATCAGTTAACCGTGCAGAGATCTGTTCATTAACGACCATTTACACACTGCTCCAGCACGGTTCCTCGCCTCCTAGTGACGATCTGTGGTACTACTGCTCTCTAGACAGGGTTCCTTCCTACAGCATAAGGCAAATTAAATTCAAGACTTTTTAAGACTTTTTAATGCCACTTGAAATAAAAATTTTAAGACCAAATTGACAAGAAACACAAGAAAAACC